TCTTACGCATACGCCACCGACGAAGAACCACCGCCGGCGCAACGACCAAGAAAACCCCACTCCGGCCGGCCGACCCATAGAATAAGAAACAAATTGAAATACAGTCCACATATTTTGAAAATCGAAGACCTTTTAATTGTGTACCCCACAATTTTGTGGTCCATCGCAGCCGCATATCAAGACCGAAGATCACCCAACGGTGCGACGAATCGCCGTGGAAGATCACCCAACGGTGCGACGAATCGCCGTGGAAGATCACCCAACGGTGCGACGAATCGCCGCGGAAGATCACCCAACGGTGCGACGTACCTCGCCGAGGAAGATCACCCAACGGTGCGACGTACCTCGCCGAGGAAGATCACCCAACGGTGCGACGCTAGCAGCTTACCGAATTTAGCTGCCGTCGTAAGGTGAAAACTTGAGGGTGCAGCGAGGATAGGATAAATAACGTCTACGCCATATAGGATAGATACCGATACTAAACCGTATTCCCGACGTCATAGAGTCCACCGAGGACACTCTCATTGCGATCGACTCGCTTACTAACCACCTGCAGTCGGCAGTCAAGGACTGCTCCAGGGAGGTACCAGCGACGGACGACCGTCGCTGGCAGCTTCCCGATGACGTAAGGAGGTTAATAAGCGATAAGAACGCAGCCACTAGAGCGTACGATCGCTACCCCTCCGAACCGAACCGGGTGCGCCTGCGAGCCTTACAGCGTAGCGTTAAGGAGCGCATCGCGCAGATCCGGGACGGCCGGTGGGGCAAGCTCCTAGAAGAGATAACGCCATGCCACACCGCGTACTGGCGCATAGCGAAATCTCTCAAAACCGACCAACAGACAAACGACATGCCCCCGCTAGTCCGACCCGACAACACTATAGCCTTCTTCGACGAAGACAAGGCTGAGTGTCTAGCGTCCAACTTAGAAGCCCAATGCTCCCCCAGCACGCTCCCAGTCGAGGCAGGTCATCTCGAGAAGATAGACACCGAAGTCGAACGCATCGCGTCCACCCCGCCCACCGAATCCCTCTCACCAGTCACGCTTGATGAGGTCAAAACGCTAGTTAAACAACTACCTATCAAAAAATCACCCGGCTCAGACGGCATATCGAATAGATTAGTCAAAAGTCTGCCATCCCAACTTTTGTTATTACTCGTCGCTATTTTTAACGCGGCGCTGTCCAACGCTATATTTCCAGACAGCTGGAAAGAAGCCGTGGTCATTGGCATCCCCAAGCCCGGTAAAAATAAATCCGACCCGTCCAGTTATCGTCCTATCAGCCTCCTCAAGGCTATAGGCAAGCTGTACGAGCGAATCCTCCTCGCCCGCCTAAAGGAGTTTATATACTCCAAAGGCCTGCTCATCAATGAGCAGTTTGGCTTCCGAGCCAAACACTCATGCGTCCATCAAGTGCACCGCATCACGGAGCACATTCACAAAAACACTCTGTACTTCGCCACCAAGTCCCCTAAAGGCGGTACAGGCGTCCTATTTTTCGATGTGGCTAAGGCTTTCGATAAAGTCTGGCACAACGGCTTGATTTACAAGCTTCATCAGTTAGGTGTCCCCGACAGGCTAGTACTCATTGTACGAGATTTCCTGTCGAATCGCTCTTATCGCTACCGTATAAACGGAGCGTTATCCGACCCGCACCCCATACGAGCCGGCGTCCCTCAGGGCGCCGTCCTCTCTCCGATGCTCTACTCGTTGTACACCAACGACATCCCCAAATTCTCCGACTTAAAAGTCGAAATATCGCTGTTTGCCGATGACACGGCTCTCTTTACATCCGCCAAGTCCCGTGCGACAATAGCCAGACGGCTTCAGAAAGCCGTAACGATACTGGGCGAATGGTTCCGTCGGTGGCGCATAGAAGTCAATCCCGAAAAAAGTGCAGCAGTGTACTTTAGCAGGGAATTTGACTCTATGAATCACCCGATCGAACTATTCGGCCAAAACATCCCGTGGGTTTCGAAAACGAAATATCTCGGCGTCACCCTAGATAGGAAACTAACGTTTCGTCCTCACATCAAGCGTGTCCGCGACCGAGCCGCCTTTATACTAGGGCGACTCTATCCCTTTATTAACAAGCACAGTAAAATGTCGCTTCGCAACAAGCTGACATTATACAAGGCTTGCATCCGTCCCATCATGACCTACGCTAGTCCCGTATTCGCCCACATACCCTACTGCTTAATCAACAGACTGCAGGTCATTCAGAATAGGTTTCTGCGTCGAGCCACCGGTGCGCCGTGGTTCGTTCGCAGCGTAGATCTCCACCGCGATCTTAATCTGCCCTCCATCAAGCAGTTTATGAAGGAAGCGTCTCGACGCTACTTCGACTCTGCCCAATCCCACCCTAATCCGCTTATAGTCAGTGCGGTCGACTACGCACCGAGGAGTAATATCCGACATACGCGACAACGTCGCCCGAGGCACGTTCTCATTGACCCCGACGACCCCATAACGGCAGGTAACCTCCCCACGGGCCCACCCGTTCCACCCCGACCACACTTTTACACACACACACGACACCGTCCTCGCCGGCGAAGACGACGACCTCAAACACACAATATCGCGCATTCAACCGGGCGCTCCACACCGGCGCCCCCGGGCGCCCCTCCGATCGATCCCCCGTCCAATTCAAACGGGGATCGAAATTACGACGGCCTGAGCCGAGGTTCGAACCCCTAGTGGTGCCCTCAGACTAAAGTCGTATCCGTCGGGCGGGAGTTGGCCTTCAGCCGCTCCATAAGTCCTTCCGCGGGTTTGGAGTGCCATCTGCACTCGCCCCATAACGTCCGGTGAAGCTGTAAAGGCCAGCTACGGCCAACAGCATTAGAGTAGTCCGAAAAAAAAAAAAAAAAAAAAAAAAAAAAAAAAAAAAAAAAAAAAAAAAAAAAAAAAAAAAAAAAAAAAATAGGATAGATAACGTCTAAGCGGTGTGTCCGCGGCTCACATCTCTTACCACCTAACGGTGTCAAAAGGTCGGAGTGTGGGTTAACGCCATTGAGCGGTGCAGTGGGTGGTGTGTCACTGCCGGTTGTTGCTTGTTACCGTGGCGCAACCGAATAGCACTATTACGCCTGTACGTGTGTATCGTATAGCGGGGGCCGGACTGTAGGCACTGCCAAAGGGGTCGGAAAGTCCGAACCGGCCCTGAGCGCCCCGTCTGTACATACGCACCACTGCGGGGTAATTCCTACCCTCCTATCCCCATAGTCCATCCCCTCGGGTGTTATCCTGAGGGATTGTTAGGGACGGTTAGGTAGGTAGGGACCGGTAGGTTAGGGGCTTGCAAGTGCCAGAACACGATGCCGACTACGAGAAGCCAAGCCCCGGGAGCAGAGAAAAAGACCACGCGGGAAAATGAACAGACAGAAGCGTCCCCTTCAGAAACCACGCAGATGTCCGCGTCCGCCGCGCCGTCGAGCGCGCCACAGGCACAAGCCGCCCGCGCCGCGTTTACCTCGGACTCCGCACCGGCGCCACCGTCGCAGCCGCCGACGACAGATGTACGTCCGGCCCGGGCCGCGTCGGTGCGATCGCGCCGCTCTACCGCTAGCGGTATAGCTAAATTAAAGAGGCTGGAGTACGAGGCAGCGCTACAGATGGCGAAATTACAGGCTGATTTAATTAGAAAGAAGTTGGCAGCCGATGTCGCCGCGGTACATGAAGAGACCGATAGAGATAGCGTGTGCTCCGAGGAAGGTGCCGGCCTGCAACGTATAACGGATTGGTTTCAACGTACCGAAGTACGGGGGGAGCAGAGAATTAATTCCCCACCGCCTACGCAGAAAGAGCCAACAGAAAGGCAAGCTTCATCGCCGAGGACGCCGAAGCAAAGACGGAGGTCCCCCGCTCCTGAAGCCGGGATGCAAGAAGGATTCACCCGGCTGGCCAAAGCTATTGAACGAGCTGTGGACGAACGAGCGGATAGGGTAGCGCCGAGGCAAGCCCAAGATCTCCCGACCTTCAGCGGCGAAGCAAGTGAATGGCTAGCGTTTAAGGCGGCCGTAGACCAGTCTACAAAAACGTACAGGATCACACCAGCGGAGAACCTGGCCAGGCTGAGGGCCTGCTTACGTGGAAAAGCGAGAGAGACAGTAGCAGCGTTACTCGTATCCGCTACAGAACCGTCGCAGATCATGAGGACGTTGGAGCAGCGGTACGGCCGGACAGAGGCCATCATCGACCGCGCCCTCAAAGATCTGAGAAGGATGCCGGTAATAGGAACATCGACAACAGAGGTGATTGACTTCGCCATTAAACTACAGAACATCACCACCATCGTCGCGGATATCGACAGGGGGGCGAGATTCCTACATAATCCCGCGCTTGAGAGTGAAGTGTCAGAAAAGCTGACCCCTCACTTACAGGTCCACTGGTGTCACTACGCTGAAAAAAACAAGGAGGACACTAGACCTACGATCATCAAGATGGCAGAGTTTTTAATGAGCGAAGCCGATCTCATGACCCGACATCTGCGAATAGCATCACCAACGAGACGAACGAGCGCGCTACCCACGAAGCAGCCCCCAAAGCAACCCACTAGGCAACCCATACCGAAAGCAACGATGTCGGCACCTCTGCGACAGATGACGGATCGTGGCGCGGCCGTATACGCCGCCGTAGAAAAGAGCGAACAGAGTACCGAATGTCTCTGTTGCGGCGCCGCACACGTAACGCCGAAGTGTAAGAAGCTGAACGACATGTCGTTATCGGACAGATGGGAGTGGGCGAAAACAAATAAGATGTGCTTCAAATGCATGAACAGCACGCACAGAAGGTTCAAGTGTAAGGCACGCAAATGTGGTGTGAGAGAGTGTCGTAAGCCACACCACGCCCTGCTGCACCCCCAGAAGAGCCGCCGAAGCGGCAAGAGGACACCGCGATTACAGCCGCAGCACGCTTGCCAGAGAACAGCCAAGTGTTGTTAAAGGTGTGTCCCATCATCGTGAAAGGCAAGACGGGACGCGAAGTAGAGACGTACGCGATGCTAGATGAAGGCTCGACGGTTACACTCATCGATGCGGAGATCGCAGAACAGATCGGAGCCGAAGGTCCGACGCGATCTCTGAGAATTCAGGGAGCGGCCTCGAGCTGGCACGAAGCCTCAAGCCGAGTGGCTGATGTCATCATCAGAGGGCGACACCATACGGACGAAGAACACTCGGTGAGGGCGCGTACGATCCGGGATCTCACCCTAGGAACGCAGCGAGTGAACCCGGAAATACTCGCGTACGGACACCTGCGACAACTCACTTGCGAGCAAGTGTGCTACGAAGATGCCAGACCCAAGGTCTTGATCGGGTCAGACAACTGGCATCTGATTGTTACGCGGAAGCTGCTCACAGGAAGGCACAATCAACCCGCAGCGTCGCTGACACGACTGGGATGGGTCATCCACGGAACGGTACCCAGAAGTGTCGTGGAAGACGAGGAACATGTCCTCCACGTGCGGTTGACACAGCGCAACGCCGAGCCAGACATGCGGCATATAGAGGGCATAATAAAAGCGCATTACGACATCGACGCGTTGGGTATATCGTCGAAGAGATTACCCATCGCTAAGGAGGAGCGCGCCGTCGCCACATTCAACTGCACAGCGACGAGAGTGGATGGGCGATACGTCGTAGGATTGCCGTGGGAGAGAGATAACGTCATTCTACCTCCCAGCTACGACATGGCAGCGAGCCGACTGAGGGGAATAGAGCGGCGGATGGATCGCTCTACGGAATTCCGGCTGGCGTATACCGCGGAGATAAACAAGTTGTTGGACAAGGGTTACGCCGAGAAAGTAACCGACGACCGGTTCGACAACGACCGCGCGTGGTACCTTCTCCATTTCGGAGTGACGAATCCGAATAAACCCGGAAAGCTGCGACTCGTATTCGACGCCGCGGCCCGTTCGAAGGTAATTTGCTTGAACGACGCACTGCTGGATGGGCCAGATATGCTACGGTCGCTTAACGGTGTGTTATACCGTTTCCGCGAGAAGCCCGTAGCTATCACGGCGGACATACGAGAGATGTTCCTGCAGATTAAGATACGGGAAGAAGATAGAGCAGCACAACAGTTTCTGTGGCGAGGAGATGACAGGATTAACCCGCCGCAGAAATACGTAATGACCTCAATGATTTTCGGGGCGAGGAGCTCACCGTTCATCGCACACAGCGTTCGAGACAGGAACGCGGCAGAGCACCGAGAGTCGCACCCGTCAGCGTACACCGCCATAACAAGGAACCACTACATGGACGACTGGGTCGATAGCTTTGACTCCGAAGAGGAAGCAGCCCGCGCCATACGAGAGGTAGCAGAGGTTCATGGCGGGATAGGATTCACGCTGGCGGGTTGGAATACAAACCGACCGAGCCTGCTAGAGAATGTGAGTGAGGACCAGCGAGCGAGGACGCCGAAGGAACTGGGAGCCAACGCACATCCATACGGAAAGACATTGGGGTTATTGTGGATGTCAGCCGAAGACCAGCTGGCGTTCAACACCGGCATGCCACGCGTCCCACGAGAAGTGAAGCACGGCACACGGATACCGACGAAAAGGGAAGCCCTAGGAGCGGTGATGTCATTGTTCGACCCGCTCGGGCTGCTGAGCCCTTACACCATCACGGCAAAAATCATCTTGCAGGCGCTGTGGGTGCAGAAGGTCGAATGGGATGACCCTCTGCCCGCCGAGGAAGCGCGGACGTTCCAGGAATGGAGAGACGACCTAGCGTATATAGAGGAACTAAGATTGCCGCGATGGTATGGCACGAACGACAGCCAACGGTCGCAACTGCACGTATTCACGGACGCAAGCGAACAGGCATATGCCACAGCCGCGTATTGGAGGACGGAACGCGAGGATCGTAGCGTTAACGTCGTCCTGGTAGCAGCCAAAGCGAGGGTAGCGCCCATGAAAGCGCAGAGTATACCCCGGATGGAGCTTCAGGCGAGCCTGGTAGGACCCCGACTGGCCGCTGACGTACTGAAAGGACGTCGTCGCGCGGCCGAAGTCTTCCTATGGACGGTCTCGAAGAAGACGCTACATTGGACTAGGAACGACACCGCTCGATACAATCCACACGCGGCCCGCCGGATGGCAGAAAGCGCCGAACATACAGAACCAACACAGTGGCGCTGGGTACCGACCGCCCACGACGTAACTAACGACGCGACCCGCGCGAGATATACAATACGGACCGCCGCCGACAGATCCGTCGGGCCGGCGCTTGTATACGCTCCAGAGAAAGAACGACCCAAGGAAAGCAAGCCCGTCCCTGCAGAGACAGTAGCCCGTGCCCGGGCAAAGGCAAAGCCCGTAATGGACAGAATGCGGTTCTCCTCATATGACCGAGTGAGGAGGACCCCGGCACAGGTGCTGCTGCTCGCAGAAGAATACAGGCGACGGGCATGGAAGCTGGGCCGGGAGCGCCCCGCCGAAGCGGGGAAATGAGTCAAGTGGCGTTGCGGTGAACGCGGACGGACGGACGAACGCGAGGGAATTTTTCGAAGGCCGACCCGAAGGCTGGTGGTCCTCCCTAGGGATAAGGGCTGCGAAGATCTGCGCCGGGGGGAGGCTGTTGCGGACCACGAGTCGGCATCGAAAATATGTAAATAAATTTGTGTATAAATTTGTATTTTTCCAGTGTTTTGACTATTGTTTAGGTTAGACTATTGTTTGTACCATATACCCTTTGTAGCGGCATAGATACTGTGAATTCTATGTCCGCCCATTGTGTAAATTCTTAGGGATCACAGCTTTAGTGTAGCCTGAACATGTGGCATTTAGTCGCACGTGGTTTTTTGTAGTTTTTTGTGTTGTTACTATTGTATTTAATTTTAAATGTGTGCGTATTCGCTGTTCCGGCCCGTCGGTCACCGACATGTGCAGGAATTGTCGGGAGGGTGGGACGGCCGACGCGCACGGCTCGGCGGGGGTGGGGAAGGACGCGCTCGGGCGCCCGTAAAAGGCGGGTTGGTTCTCGATCGCGCTCTCTTACGCATACGCCACCGACGAAGAACCACCGCCGGCGCAACGACCAAGAAAACCCCACTCCGGCCGGCCGACCCATAGAATAAGAAACAAATTGAAATACAGTCCACATATTTTGAAAATCGAAGACCTTTTAATTGTGTACCCCACACATATATTAGTATTTTTTGTTTTAGTACAATTGACAATAATAATAATAATATTCCTGGACAATTCACACATCTTCATTTAGGCCCAAACTAAGAAGTGCTTGTAGTAGGGGTACTAGACAATTGATCTAAATAAATAAACATAATGTACATAAGAAACACCCAGACCAATATAAACAATCCTAAAAGAAACAAATGTGAGTATATTACTACGGATTATTATATTAGAATCATGAACAATATCTATTTAGTAATACTATATACTATGTCGGTCCCCAAAACTATAAAATTTATATTTTCGCGTAAATATTTATAAAAATAATGGTTAAGTAATTAGATTAATTAAATAAATAACTGCTACAACGAAATTCAATACAAATATAATAATATTCTTACTTATACGGTTCTTATTTTGCTACTCAAAAAGGAACTCACAAGTACTTTACATATAACTTAATGTTAAGTAGCCGTGGGGCCTGTGAATATAATTACTCGTTCTATATAATTGTTATGAGAATAGATATTCATTAGAGATGTTAGAACAATCGCTTCCTCCAGGCAGAACAAGAAATTATATTCTTTTAAGATAGATAATTTGTTTTTGGTTCATTAAATGTTATTAATATAATTAAACGGGTTTGTACGAATACAGTCAATAAAAGTTGTAAATAAAAGACGAATAATTAAATTGTAAATTACCTCTCTCGATCAAGCTGACTGGAGTATGAGCGATGGCAATGATGGGAGATGCGAATAGTTTGTTTAACTACCGTCATTAGATTATTCCACAAAATTTATAAAATATTGTAGTACTATCATTTAGTTAGTTAGTTACATATGAATGTAGATGGTTATAAGGGCAGAGGAAGGCTGAAAAAGAGATGGATGAACTTTGTGAAAGATGATATGGTAAGAAAGGAAGTAAATAACGAGATGACTGCGAACAGGGATGAATGGAAGAGAAAAACATATTACGCCGACCACAAATAAATGGGATAAGGAAGCAGCAGATGACGATTGTAGTACTATCAGTACATTGTATAAAACAAAGTCGCTGTCGCTGTCTGTTCGTTCCTATGTATGCTTAAATCTTTAAAACTACGCAACGGATTTTTTTTAATAAATAGAGTGATTCAAGAGGAAGGTTTATGTGTATAACACATGTACACTCGGGCGAAGCCGAAGCCAGTAGCTAGTAACTATATAAATACTATAGATTTCAATTTTTTTCTAATTTATATTAATTTGCATTATTTTATTGCAATATTATTACTATGAACTGTTTTGGGTTGATTCTTTAATATGATTGTTTGTTGGTCTTTCTGTTTTTCTATCACGTAAAATAAAATCTACTTAGCTTGCGACTAGATGACGTTGTCTTGAGATATTATTATTTGTTCGCTAATAAACATTTGTATTCATTAGTATGACTGTTTATATCGGTCTAGATGTTTTTTTTTCTATCCCGTAATATAATATAAAATCTGCTTAGCGTGCGACTATATGACGTTGCCCTGAGAATATTTGCTCTCTTAATCACCATATTCATTATTGAGATGAAAAGAAATGGTAAAAATCGATTCTTACCCTATCATAAGGCGGAAGATTTATGGTATAGAGTTTATGGAAGCTCTAATGATTCACCTTTGAACCATTCCGTTATAGTGTCTGCATAAAGCGAGGGCACCCGACCGTGTAGTATTAATTTCCCTACAAAGGCAACTGAGACGGCATTTTACGAAATTCTCCCCACAAGACAGTCGAAGTTGCCAATTTTGTGGATCTTTCACGTGTCTATAATAGTAGCTACTGTATTTATTGAATAATTTATTTATTTGAACAATAATCATTGTTCAAATAAACTTTTATGTGAAGGTAACACTAGTTTTGCATACTCACGTGTTAAGAATTATTTGGTGTATTAGTTTATTATTCCAACTTGGAATGAAAATTCATTAATATGTCAAATGATTTTCAATAAGTGACTATTCAAAATTAAAGTAAAAGTTTATCTCATCAAAAACATAAATGTGAAATGATAGCCGAGTTTAATATTATGTTATATGCCTTGATTGTTGACTTCTACGACAAAAGAGGTAAGATCTAAATGGGTGCCAAGTTCAATGGTCTGTCCTGAAATGTATTTATAACAATATACAATATCATTTCTTCTTATAACTTAGGATAATATACTGTAGCCTAAGGTCTAACTTGGCCAGTTCTCATATACCAATTATTACTTTCGATTGCTAGTTACTACTAATAATAAAATAGGAACCGACAAGTAACATGTTTAGAACGTGCAAAGGCTACAGTATATTTTGTATACACACGGTGCTGCTCGCCAGTTCTCTTACTTGAAACTCGGCTTGACACGCTACCGCGTGTCTAGATTTGAACGAAGATTATTTTTTATTTACAAAAAAAAAAAAACTATGTGCGTTAGTTTCCATTAATGTCTACAAATTCAAATTGATACACATCATTTTTTTGTAATGCTTCTCAGGGAACAGATACTTCGATAAGTAACTAAATTCGGAAAAAGAAAAGGCAGTGATCACATCCTTTGCTACGGTGAATTGAAATATGAGTATCTAGAGATATACAAAGATTAGCGTTGACTATGACGTGCCCAGATAGTTAATGGTCCAACTGATGCCAATTGTCCCCAATACATGAGCAGCAATTCGGACTCCCCATACATTACCAACATATAGGGAATTCAGGAGGGCAAAAGTTTAAGCAGCTAATATAGATGAGACAGAATATCAGATTGATTAGTCAATTTGCCACAAAAAAATTCAAATGTGTCATAAAATATTTTCTATGTAAAAAAGCTTATTATAAAATTGAAGAATTTATAAATGATAATAATGTTTTTGTAGAAAATATCTAACTTAAAATTCATAGCGCTGACAATGTTATCTGATTGAACAGAGATTAAGTACGTAGCGGTTTCTATGTTGATTTTCGCATGCCTAATCCTTGTTGTTAATTAAATATAAGTAAATCAATATTTATTTGAAAGAGCAACGCACAAGTTTCTTGCTTATTCTTCTTGTGATGAATCTGCATTCCGAATAAGCGGTAGACTAAAAAAGACTATTCAAAAGTGCTTATATTAAGTTTATTTGAATAAAGATTATTTCTATTTCTATTTCTAAATAAGCAAGACGGAGATATTCAAGCACATGACTTTGTTTAATACAAAGTCTAACTAATCTTACTAATAATGAAAGTGCGAAGGTTTGTGAGTATGAATAGATTGGTTACTCTTTCACGCAAAAAATATAGAACAGATTTTGATAAAACTGTACAATAATACATCAGAATAACACAGGCTATAATTTAAAAAGATATTGTGTAACTTAGTTGAAATAAATATTAAATATCAATCAAGTGCGATGCAGACGGAGTTGCGCCTGTCAGGTAGTTGTACTTTTAAAAAGTATATATATTTAGAAGCTACTGTGGAATGGGAACAAAAAAAAAATAGAAATACAAATTCTCATTCAATACAAAACCACAACTAATTGTGGTAACAAACGTAAAATATAACTGTAACGCCAAGGTTTTACATTAATTATGGCGTCTCATGAAACAATATAGGAACAAGGGCTCCTACAATTGAACACTCGACGTTCAAGAGCAAAATTAATATTGATGCTTCCAACGCGGCAATATTATCTTTAGCTTTAATAATAAAGGCTTCTCGCTGCGGCTTCTTAAATGTTTACAGGAAATAGTGCAACAAAAGCATAATTAGCAGAATTTCAATTATCCTCTACAGTTTTTTTAATACCTTTATTACTTCTTTCGTCTAGTCTTCGATTCCTCGAACGGTGCAAACGATTTTATTCATAAGTATGATTGTTTATATCGGTCTGGGTGTTTTCTATGTATGTTATGTATGTATTTACAATAAAATCTAAATATTTATATTAGTGGTCTAGTAATACCTATAAGAGAATCTCTTCTTAACTTGGAACCAAATGGCGTTGTGTGAGTTGTTCAAGCTTATTTTTTTTTTAAGTAGTGTAACACAACAAATAAATAAGATAAGATTAGTAATAAGATACGTTAGGACTAGCATTATCATATCATGATAAAAGTTCCCAAATTAACCTAAGAATAATAAAAAAAAACAAGTAAATAATCTTAAAATACCATTTACATTCCACATCTTGATAAAAAATATGTTTTAATTTTTTTCATCATTATTGGTTATAAAGAAAATAAACTCCATAAATACTGCACTATTTAAGAAATTCTTCTACTGTATGATAGATACATTATTACACAGTGACTGTA